AGCCGACTCCAGCGCGCTCATCCCAACAAGGCAGGTCGGCGAGATCACAACCACTGATATCAGCCTCCCCAGACACCCACGCCCCCTCCCGCTCACCCTCCCTCCGCCCCGCGGACCGCAAACAAGAAAGCACAATGCGATCCTGTTGCCAGGATTGGCGTTCATTGCAAGACGGCGGTTATTAAAGCGCGTACATTTCGTATTCGCGTCGTTCTTATAGCACAAAGGCGATCGCTAATGCGCTATGGTTATGCTTTGTGAGCTTTTACGGAACACTTCTCACTAGAGTGGAAGGCAGAACTGGCTAAGAGCTGATGACAAACCATGGAAAGAGACTGGCACGGAGTTCCACGTAGATGGGCCGGAAAAGCTAAAAGTGTGCAAGTGGATGGATGAATGAGTTTTCATTTCATTTTTTCATTTATTTGGTATAGCCTTGTGAGCCATTCGGCTCTTGAATCGGGTGCAACCGCAACAAACAAAAAACATGAGCAAGAAACATCTTAAAGTGACTACGCGCAAACAGAAAAATCCAGGAAATAACAACAAAGTCTTCCAGAAAAAGCACCGTATATCAATGCTGTGTGCAAAAATCCCAGCGGGATGCAAGTCAAACAATAACAACCATAAGACAATTCAGATTAAAGTTATCAGTGTAACTCTGTACTACAACAAACAAATATGGCTAAACCAAAACGTTTTCGAAATCACCAAAATAAAGCTATAAAAGCAATGTAACAGTGATCATAGGAACTGTGATTGAAATTTTACAATAAACAATATACTTAACATGTACTACCAAAATTTTCAGCCATAGCTGGCTGAATGAGTCACTCCATAACAGCAGGAGTATCAATGCACCTTTAGTAGGTTTATGAGTGAGTAGGTGAATGAGTGGGTAGATGAGTGGGTGGATGAGTGAGTATGTGTATGAGTGGGTGGATGAGTGAGTAGGTGGATGATTGGGTTGGTGAGTGAGGGGGTGGGTGGGTGGATGGGAGGGTGAATGGGTGAGCTGGTTAGATGAGTATGTGAATCGGTGAGTAAATGGGCGAGCGAATCGGTGAGCGGGTGGGTGGCTGAGTGAGTGAGTGGGCGAGCGTGTGAGTGAGCGAGCCAGCAAGTTGGCTAAGTGAGTGAGTGGGCGAGCGTGTGAGTGAGCGAGCCAGCAAATGGCCGAGTGAATGAATGAGCGAGTGAGCGAGCTGGACACGACATAACTGCGGGGGCCGTTCCTTCATGTCTCGGAGTGCGGGAAGATCAGGTGACCACGTGCCGCCAACCGGAATTCAAAGCAGCCTCCGGTGGGGGAGCCGAGAGCGTCGAAGGGCAAGCCACAGGGCATGCCGGCAGGCCAGAGTGCCACCGGCCTGCCGGACAGATACAATTTGCAGACCTCACTCGCTCGGGGGTCTAAGACCGGTCGGTATCCGCATGGCGAGTTCCAGGGGGTGTCGGGTGGCTCAACGCGGCGTCCCCGGGGAGCACGAGGAGGCTTCCTGTCTAGACTGCAAATTACTCGAGCCAACTCGCTCAGCACCACCACCGCAGCCGCCACAGCCGCCGCCGTTGCTGCTGCTATCGCTGCCGCCGCCGCCGGAACGGGCGCGAGCCACAGACGGGCTTTTCGTTGGCGGGCGTCCGCGTGCAAACACCTAAGGCTATACACGGACAGGATCGCCCTGCTCGCCCCATCAGTGAGAGAGGACGTTCTTGGTGGGGAGAGCTTTCCCTCCACTCAGTGAAACTTCCGCCAATTTCCGCGCCCTTGCGTCACGTTGGGCGCCAATGGCGCCCAGCCCCGCACGGTGAGGTCACGCCCCACACGCCCCTGACAGCGGCGGTGGCGGCGTTACACCAACGACACGGGGGAGGAAATTCCGCCAAGCGAGTTGAGGAAATGTGGTGCGACGGGGCGAGGGTCGGGGAGGGGAGTTCGCGACCGCCTAGCTCACCTGTGAGAGCGCAATCACACCTCCCACGTCGCCTGCCCAGCCTCACCATTACTTACGAAGATTATTATTAATATATTTCACCAGTTTTATGACGATTTGGCTATCGGTATCCATTCGGATCTCTCGCAGAGCAGTGTGAGAGAACATCCCGATGAAGCAGATGTCGCATATCTACCGCTGAGATCTCTTCAAGTGAGCTCTAATGCAGACAGTGAGAGGAAGCACTTCCCCTCCCGTCATGTGTCACATGGCGATCAAACCGATATTTTTCATTCTCTTGGAATTTTATCCGAATTAAGTGCAGCATCAAATTTTAGGTGTTTCTCTTGTGCAAGCCATAGTGACCGGGCCAGAGACCATCAACTCACTACACTTGAGAATCCGGTTTGACCACGGGCCGCTGAAAGCTGGATTTCTTGGGATGTTGTTGGGAATACCAACATGTATGGTTATTCAACGCGAAAGGAAAAAATACGAGGAAATGTGAATTGGCGTCGTTTGCCATTGTAGAATTTTTTGTAATGTGACTCAAATTACCCTTGGCCCCAGAGCGCGGAATCCAGCCGGGTGGCGCAGCGGTTAGAGCGAGCGTCTCGCAATTAGGAGGTCGCAGGTTCAAATCCCGGTGAAGCATCAACTCGGCCCATTATACTTTATCGATAAACACTTTGCCACTTGTGAGCAATCGGCTGTAATTGTCCTGTACATGTGCTGCTCACCCCTGCCACAGAAATGTGGAATTTCCACCAAAACCGGAGATGACCATTGGCCATTCGCCTCTCGTTTATGTACCAAAACATTATATATAGTATATTTATATAGCGTTGTCATGCATGCAAATTGCACCTCAATCGCTCAGGATGCACAGACAAGCTGGAAGGCATCCAGGCAGCATGGCCGGCACCAACAAAAATCGCCAATAATCTGCAGTCCTCTATATATTAAGATGCTTTCAGGCAATTTAAACGGCACATTAACGTGTGGGAGGAAACCGAAGTACCCGGAGAAAACCCACAAGTTAAATTTCGATTTAAAGATTTCGTGACTGCAAAGATTCATCTTCTTTGGTTCTTTCGGTAAAGTCACGTAGAATGAGAATAAAATAATAAATTGATAAAATAAAATAACACAATAAAATCCTCACGACGTTTCGGCCACAACATGAAGGCCGCTTGTGTTGTGGCCGAAACGTCGTGAGAATTTTATTGTGTTATTTTATTTTATCAATTTATTATTTTATTCTCATTCTACGTGACTTTACCAAAAGAACCAAAGAAGAAAAACCCACAAGCGCGAGGGGGGCAATGCTCTATCCCCCACAGAGACGGGACAGATGGAGATTAGTCCACATAATTCATTTCAAGCAGGTAGCCCCGTAATTAATAGCACGGCTCATAAACGAGGTGTTTAGCTGCGCCACCGGCTAATTGCGGAGGTCTCGTATTTCCCCATTAACGGCAAACGACCTGCGACGAGCGCCGGCGCGATCCATCAGCGGACGCCGAGCGGGCACACACGCTCGCGCAATTACAACGCCGCCCGGGCGCTCGCCGGGAAGGCGATTTCGCTCTCTCGCGATGCGCCAGCACGCTCAGGCGGCACACGCGTGTCCACGCCGGGCCACACGCGCGCGCATATTCACACTCAACGCACGCACGCAAAAACGCACAAATGCACGCACAAGACAAAGGATACCCCCGTGTAGCCTTTAACAAACTGTTGGGGCAACTGCTGTTAAGCAAACACTGGTGAAGATCGGCACAGCGTGAAAATGGGTGGAGTGGCGAGCACCATGCCTAGCCGCCTTCGTCTCCCCAGTGGTTATGTTTACACGATGCACCAAGTGCTCATTTAAGGCCGAGTCGAGCTAGTCAAGGGCCCAAGACCGGTTCAGATAATCGCCACCAATGTTGTCCAGTATCGGGAACTCGGGTCACCTAATTACATGCTATAAAGGAGGGTCATTGCCCAAAACGTTGGCACATAAATCGTGCAGGCGCTTTGAATAAGGGCCTTTGTCCAAAACGATTCCGATTTCATTTTAACTCTTTTAATTCCACGGTATGCTATTGACGAACGAGTTAACCTTTATGACGAACGCGCGCGCGTTCGCTCGCCACGCACCGACGACTCCACTCCTCGATCATGGAGATTACGCGCGGTCATTCATTGCGTAAACGATCGTGCCCCGTTGCGTCACTCCGAGGCAGCCGCACAATCAGTCGCTGTAATTGCTTCCAAGGAAGAGAGGGCAAGCGCGGTGGTCACACATCAACGCGACTCGGACAGCGCCCGTCGTCTCTGGCGGAAAGCGCGCCACACGCCAACTGCGAGCGTGCGAGCTGCTGTGTGCGCCCGTTGCCACGCTGCGAGAGTGTGATGGCAATGTTAAACTATTTAAACTAAAAATACTTTTATTTCACCAGCGAAATAGATAGCTTTCAGAATCGACCTGGCCATCAAAAATAATATCTCAATTAAGTGGCTCGTTATGTGGAAATTTCAAGCAGCCAAGCACTCTAAAAGCATGTTTAGAGTGCTTGGCAACCACAGGGAGAGACATCCAAAAACTCCAAATATACAGGCGTCGCCAGGGTCGGGATCGAACCCACAACCTCCTGTATGCCAAGCGAGGTAGTTAACATCTCGCCACCATTAACATGTACGGTAGCGTCGTGAGAACCAGCGGCATCCCCCCCCTGCCCCCCGCGAGCGACGCGTCCACGTGAGATTGAGCAATTTGGCGTCGATCGTTAATGGGTGACGTTGTACAGTTATCGAGGACACAGCCAGTCGCGTGTGACGCTGCGTGGTAGGAAGGAGGAGGTTGCTGGGGTTAGGGTTATGCGCCCCTGTTCATGGTACAGGTCAGGGTCAGAGTTAGGTTCAGGGTGTGATGGAAGGTCAGAGTCAAGGTAGAGGTAAAGGTCAGAGTTTGTGTCAGGTCACCGCTACTCACACTTCATGTTGAGCGACACATGGGTCAGGGTTCGCGTAAGGGTTCATGTCAAGGTCAGGGTGCGGAGTTAGCACAGCGCCACTCACACTTGATGTTGAGAGAGGCGTCCTGGCTGCGCGCCACCTCGCCGGTGCTGGGGTCGCGCACCACGCAGACGAAGACTCCGGCGTCGAGTTTGCGGTCCACGGCGCTGAACTGGAGGTTGCTGCCCTCGACGAAGCGGCGCGCCGTGTCGGGCAAGTGGTGCCCGTCGAGCAGCCACGAGAAGGTGACGCCGGCGGGCTCAGCCACCTCGCAGCGCAGGATGGCAAAGCGGCCATGCTGCGCATCCTGAGAAATTGGCTCCTCCGTGAACACGATCGCTGCACCAGCAGCACGGTGGGGGGGAGGGCGGTGGGGGGACAGTAGAGCAGAAATATTTATATTACTATGCTTGCTTACCCAAGAAAATCTCACCGAGTCTCAAGACTAATTTTCAGGAGGGTCCTGTCATGTGATGTTGCTGTTGTATGTGATCCCAATTGAGTAATTTGCAGGTACTTTTTCAGCATTTCGGATGTTTTTTGACCAATACCAGCGACATTGTGTGTGGTTTTTTTAGCTATGGGAGGAAGCAATAGAACCCAGAGGAAACCCATTCAGAACATGGGGAGAGAACATACAAACTCCACACTGAAAGGTGCCCCGAGTCGGGAATCGAACCCAGCATTACAGCAGTGGGTTTTGCCAATCCACGTGGCTGGACGTTGGTCAACGCGGGTTGGTAGAGGAGGGGAACGTGGGGTTGGGAGCAGATAAGTACTGTGCAGAGCACCATTCTCCACTCCCCGCCCCGTAACCCCGGATAAAAAACGCTCTCGAATCAAACGCCCGCTTAATTGAAGACGTACGTCGAAATGAAATGAGTAACGATTGACGCGCTCGTTAACCGCAAAATTCACATTAAATTCATGGCCGCGGCGCCCAAAAGGCGACGGTCGGCTCCGCGCTAGTCCGACGACGCGACGTAAAAAAGCGCCTCTCCATTATCAATCGGCAAACGCCGACCGCAATGCTCAAGCCACGAAACGCGCGGTCCATCAGCTATTTTGGGCTTTAGTGGCTAAAGAGGTCTAATCGCCAAAACAAGCGCCTTTCTCTCTCTTTCTCGAGTAGGTGGAGGAGGTGGAGAAGGTGGAGGAGGTGGAAGATGGGGGAATCGCGAGCCACAAACAGCAGGTGCACACGATGAGGCGTGGCGTGCAGCCGCAATCCGTATTCAAGTATTCGTGCCTTTGTGCAGAGAGAGAGGCTTTCACTTGCTAGAATCACCATGTGTGGAGAATGGGTTCTCCTGCAAGCAGGCTCGCTAATTGCCGTGTTCTCAGCGCAAGACACAAAAGGCCCTCCCCCTCCTCTGCCTGCTCGGCACAAGGGGCCTTTCAGCCAGAGACCACATTCACAAACCCAAGTCTGGCCAATATTTTTTTCATCATTCTCCTGCAATGAGCACGCGGACCACCAATCACTTGCTGTAATTAGTGAGGACTGCGGACGGGGCACAATTTCAAGGTAGGCTTTCGTTCATTAAGAGTTTTGCATTGCCGCTAGGATAAGCAACGCGAGGTCGCGTAACGCATCGTAACGAGCAACGCGCAGCCCCGTTGTCAAGAGGGCCTGGGCCGCGCTTCGTCGGTCGGGATGGTCGTTTGACCATACTTCACCACGTCGGTCAGCACGGGCTGGTGAAACTGTGGGGGGTTACCCTCCGGCCGGTTCAGACATCGCTCACCGCCGACTTTAGCCGCGACCGGGAAGCGAACTCGGGTCTCCGTGTTCACAACGCAATGGGTTAACCCGCTGCGCCGCCGCCGCCGCCGCCGCCACTACCCCACCCCGATAATGCAGATTACTCACAGAAGCGTCAAAACTGGAGGGCAAATTACTCAGAGACCCCCGAAACCTTATCAGGAGTCTTTAATCAAACCCCAGACCAGGCAGTGGCTCCAGTCTCTATCGTCGCGACTGCCACTCGCCAAATGCCACCGCTGTGAGGCAGAGCCATTTACATCGGTGGCTGCCGCCTAACGTTTGGGATTTCTAATTCGCTGTCTGCCGTGATGGATGGGTCAGTCTGGTAACGACCTCCAGCGACGTTCCACCACGTGTGGGGTGGCTAGCTCTTGCTCCACCTAATGGAAGAGGATACCCTCAAAAAGAAGAAAAAAAAACAACAGCCAAGGTGACCGGGTGGCTTGGAGGTCAGAGCGCAGAGCCGGCACCGCTGAGATCCTGGGTTCTAATCCGGGTTCCAGCCGCCCAACCGTGTTTAGAACCGGGTTCTCGAGTGGAGCAAGTTGATGGTATGAAAAATAATAGGTTTTACCCTTTGATGGCCTCGGTCCGGTTGGCAGGGATTACACACACACAAAGTACGAGACGAGGGATAATGAATTTGGCCCTGCACTAAATATGGATAAATGCCATGTCTGCCGAGTGGCTAGAAAAGTATCGCCACTTCTGCATGGTGGGGTTTTCTCCGGGTTTTCACGCTGCATTGGGCTAAACATCCCAATGCAGCGTGGGACCCCTTCTGAAAAAAAGGCCACGGGACTCTGCTCGGTCGGTTGTCCCTCAGGTCTCCTAACCCCACACGATCAGCAAAAAATAATCAGTTTGTGCCGTCGCAGACAAACCGCAGCGGGAAATCTCACTGCCGAGTCGTTCAAGGCCCCCCTGCGCCGACAGAACGCGACGTGCGCGTTCCTCTGTCCGTACGTACGTACGTACGCGCACCGCTTCACAAACGCAGGAATGCGTTTCAGCGGCGGCTCAACAGAGGCGACGTTCCTCACATAACCAAACACAATAAGCCGCAAACATAATGGGCACTCGTCGGCGGCGGACGGCGTCGAAAAGATGCGTTCGCGTTTAGACTCCGCGCGAGCCGCGGCCGCGTCGCGCATTCCCACAAAACGGCACCATCACCTGACGCGAAACGACAAGGCCATCCATCTTCCCGCTACTCCACTTTCTGCCGCTGTGGAAAATGAATGCAGTCCCCTCCGTTGGCCGCAGGGTTTACGCGAACCAACCACATTGTCTCATCATTGGCCGTGATCTATTTCGCTACTGGATGAAGGAAGGCCAACCTACGCAAGCCATGTGCAACCTCTTTCTCTCGGGTCTCGAGATGCGCACCAGCCCACTTCATCGCTCCGTCTCCGCGCCGCACGTTTCTCTACCATCGTCGTCTCCGCTGTAATCTTCATCATGTATGCAGCCTACCATTGTCAATGATTAGAGTGCACGTAAACATACGATTACACGTGCGTATGTGATACACGTGTGTACAAGGCCAAACGTTTACACGCCATAATGCATTTATGCTGGCGTCTCGATTATGCGTGTAGGTGGCTGCGTGTGTATGCAACACAATGTGGATTTATGCAACGCAGGAACGTGCCTGTATTTAAAGACGCTGTAAAGAAACAATGGGCATATTGATTTGCGGAGAGAGGCAGTTATAGGCAGAGGAGAACAGGAGGGCCTTCAGCCTGGGATTGAACAGGGGCAGGGAATCCACAGCACGGGTCTGGGGCAGCAGAAGAGAATGAGAAACCTTCCACTAAGCGATGGTCGACTGGGGGGCTTCCTCAGAAAGCCTTGGTTGCTGTAGCAGAGTGCACGGAGGGGAGCAGAGTGAGATGAGAGGGGAGAGAGGTAGGAGAGTGTGTGGGAAGGAGCAGAGTGAGATAGGAAGGGAGAGGGAAGCATACGACCATGCGCGCGCACATGGTTACTGCACGTACCAGGCCGTGCGCACACGAGTGTTAGTAAATGCACGTAACTGTACGCGAGTGCATGCGTGTACACCACTGAGAGCAGCACACGGCTCCCGCGGCGTGTGCACGCATGGCGCGCTCTCTCGTGATATACCGCAAATAAGAAGCGAGCCTGCTGAAGCCATCACGGTGCGCACACAAAAAAACTTAATTCAAAGAAAAAAATAATCGCTTCTCCTGTAGAGCCGATCCAAAAGACAAATGGTGGGAGGTCGAGGAGGAGGGGAGAGCATGCTGGCTCAAAGACAGCGAGGTTTGGCACCGCTCCAGAGCAGTGTGCATTACTTGAAATCACCCCGCAGCCAATTTGGACAGAAACTGAATGACAATGTCAGCCGTTCGCCAGAGACGAAGCCTGGCGCTCGCACAAAAAGCCTTTGCAGAGGCACGGAGGAACGGGCTCCGGCATCTTTATTCCACACACGGCCCTCCGTGACCTCCCCTCTCTCTCCCCTCTCTCGCTCGCTCGATCACGAGGAAGTTGCTCTCCTCTCGCAGACATCACCCACTACCGCCTTTGGACAAAAATTGATTTGGCTCGGCGGCAAAACATTTTTTTAAAGACCCGTCAATTTCATCCTCCTCCGTCGTTTTGCTTTTCTCCTTTTAAGTTGCGACCGCTCAGGGAATGCGGTGGCTGTTCTCGAGAGAGCGTGCGCTGGTCTTCGAGACATAAAACCTCGCTCCAGCCGCGGGCACGGCCATAACGCGCCGCGTCTCATCACGGCCTCCGCCGCCGCCGCGTGTTATTACAGCTGGAGAAGATTGCCACATTACTTCTCAGAGCCCTCCCGGGCAGTGGCGGTGGTGGCGCCGCCGATTCACAGCTGGGGGGGGGGGGGGGGGGGGGGGGGGGGCGGGGATGCAGGCGCTTCTTACAGCAGCGCGGCTGTCGCGACGCGTCCGTTCACGGCTCGAACCAGTCATCGCGCTTAAGTGACAAAGCGTTGCGGCACATCGAGGGATGCATGTGGTCGGAATGGATGGTCCTGCCGACACCGATGGCGCTCGTCCGCAAGCAGCCCGATCAAAATATTTTTCTTGACATACGACGAAAGGGGGGAGATAATTTGAGCGTGACACACGTGCGCGACCGTGCCCGGGATGAACGGTGGGGCCCCCCCAGCTGCGGAGGACGGTGATGGAGGGAACGCCGAAAGCTTGCTGGGGAAGTGGGAGGCACACGATGCGAATGGACGTCAGGCGTCAAAAAAGGCTGAATGGGATGGAGGCCGTCTCATTTAAAAGACGCAGCGACTGAGAGAAGTGGAAAGAGCACGGCGAGGAGACAACGGTGAAGGAAACGATCAAGCTCCAACGGCCCAAGCAGGCCAGGACGGGAGGAAGATTCGCGTACGGCAACAACTGCGGTGGCCACCATTCGCCACGGAGTGATGCCACCACGGCGCTTGTGCAAGGGCGAGGTGCATTTGGAGGCCAGACCAAAGAAAGCACGCACAACACACACTCATGGCTGATGCTTCACAGCACAGTGAGGATAATTGGTGTGTATGAGTAGAGGGGGAAGGCTGCAAGAA